AGTTACTTCTCTAGTTACTACTTGCTTATTTTGTAAAGAAGATAATTTTTTACACAGGTGTTCAAATTTTTTAAACTTACCAGTGCAAAAACGAATAGAGTTTGTTAAGCCTAATAAACTTTGTTTTAATTGCTTGTCTAATGTCCATGAGTTGAAATGTGTAAGAGTGCAAATACTTGTAAACATTGTTTTAAGTATCATCATAGCATTTTGCATTTAGAAAATAATTTCAAACAAAAAAATGCATCTAGATTCCCTTCACCGGAAGCAGAAGTGTTCCGAAATCACTAATTAAAACAGAAGACAACTTGAGTAAGGTTTCTCCAACTGTTTGTGCAAACAACTATGAAAATCACCATTTTGGAGCTCATGCTAATGGTAAACGTAGTCATGTACTTTTGTGTACTGCTTTAATTAAGGTTCAAAACTCAAAAAATGAATTCATAACTTATAGATGTTTACTAGATTCAGGTAGTGAAAAATCATTCATTCGTGGGGAAACAGCTATTAATTTAGGATTGAGGGTAAAGGATTCGAAGATATTAATGTCATGCTTAGGTACTTTTAATACAACTACTACTGGAGAAGTTGACTTGTTGTTAACACCTCATTTTAATACTAGTTACAGAATTTCAACGTCCGCTTACATAATAGACAAAATTACAGGAAACATTCCAAGTGTAACATTACCTTTGAATTTATATGAAAGCTTCCAAGATCTAACTTTAGCAGATCCTACATTTCATGAATCGAGAGAAATTGACATTTTGCTAGGAGTTAACGTATTTCTTACTTTAATCAATGGCGAGGTAATTAAAAGGGGCAAAAATCTTCCATTTGCATTTTGTTCTAAGTTAGGATGGGTAATTGCTGGAACTACACATTTTGAATTCCCAAACCGTAAGCAGGTTTGAGTCAATACGCTAAACGTGAACACGGAGGAATTAGTTAAATCATTTTGGGATTTGGAATAAATTCCCGCATCGAAACCTTCAACTAAAGAGAAAAGTTTGTGTGAAAACCATTTCGTGGAAAATCACGTCCGTAGTGAAAATGGTCGTTACTCAGTAAAATTGCCATTCAAGCTTAAACGAAATAAGATAATTCCAGATTATCAGCCTTTCGTAACTTTCTTAGTCTGGAACAAAAACTAATAAAATCTCCTGAAGTATATCAACAATATAAAGACTTCATGTCCGAATATTTATCACTTGGACACATGGAAGAATTATCCGATGATAATCCAGATAAAGTAAATTTTCATTATTATATCCATCATCATCACGTGCTAAAGGAATCGAGTTTTACCACAAACGCGTCGTTTTCAATGTTAGTGCCAAAACTACATCATGGATACCGCTTAATGACACGCTAATGAATGATCCGAAGGTACAAAACGACTTATTTACTATTCTTTTGAGGTTTAGATGTCCCATAGCCATTACTAGCGACATATTGAAAATGTATCGACAATTTCAAATTCATGATGAAGATCACGATTACCAAAAAATACATATTGTGGAGAGATGATCCATCGAAGCCAATTAAAACTTACAGGTTGTGCACAGTTACATACGGGACTACTTCAGCTTCATACCTGGTTACTCGCGTACTCAAACAACTAACAATTGACGAAGGAGCTAAATTCCCAAAAGCAGCTGAGATAATATTACACAATTGATATATTGGTGATGTCCTATTTGGTTCAGACACAGTAGAGAACGCAGTAGAGTTAATTTCACAACTGAGTGAACTTTTACAAAAGGGGTGGCCTTCAATTGAATAAATGGTGTACAAATGATCACTCGATTTTAAAAACTGCATTGAATGCTCAGAAAGCTAATTTTTCATGTAGAGTAGTTGATACTAAATCAATAAAATTATTGGGTTTGGAGTGGTATCCAACGCAAGACGAGTTTACTTGTCACTTTGAAAATCTCGAAAACAGAGATCATTCTACTAAGAGAATGATTTTGTCTTCTATTTCGAAAATCTCTGATCCACTTGGTTGATTAGCACCTTTCATAATTGCAGCAAAAATCTTGCTTCAAGATATGTGGAAATTACAAATCTCGTGGGATGACCCTTACCAGATGAAATCAATCAAAGATGGAAAATCTATTGTGAAGATATCGCAAATCTTGAATGCATTCGTATTCCTAGTAGAGTATTATTGCCCAAAGCTACAATTGTAGAGCTTCATTGTTTCTGTGACGCATCAGAGAAAGCTTACGCCGCAGTGATTTATTTAAAATCTTCAAATAATTCTTCAGTTTCGGTGCAGCTACTAACATCGAAGACTCGTGTAGCTCGCATGAAAGTAATTTCTATTCCACGTTTAGAACTCTGCTCTGCAGTTCTATTAGTGCATTTGGTTCAAGCTGTGTAGAATTCATTCCAAATTTATGCATGGAGTGATTCAATGATAATTTTGTCATGAATACAATCAGAACCCACACACTGGCAAACCTTCGTAGCCAACTGCGTTTCAGAAATTCAATCAGTCTTACCATCATCGCATTGGAATCACATAAAAGGGAAAGAGAATCCAGCTGATTGCGCATTAAGAGGTCTTTTGCCTTTAGAGCTTTCTACTCATGACTTGTGGTGGACAGGTCCTCAGTGGCTTAATTCAAATAATATTCCGTTCTCTATCAACTTACCATTTTTAGAAGAGTCTTTAAAAGAACAACGAAAAAATGTTTCTTGTTCAATTACAACAGTCGCTTCGCAAATCCCAGTCCTTAATGAAGTTTCATCATTCTTGAAACTTAAAAGAATCATCGCATGGTGTTTTCGGTTTGCGAATAATTCAGCTAAATCTACCGCAACAAGGATTAAGGGTTACCTTAAAACCGAAGAATTTCAATACGCTAGAAATGCAATTGTTAGAGTAGTTCAAGGGAATGAGTTTTTTAATGAATATAATCTTCTGAAGAAGAAGAAACCGTTAAACTCAAATAGTAAAATCTTTTCTTTGAACCCCTTTACAGATAAGAATGGACTTATGCGCGTCAGAGGAAGATTAAGACAATCCAACTTCGCGCAGGACAGAAAATATCCTATTTTGTTGCCCAAGAAACATCACATAACCCAGATTATAGTGAATAATTTTCATGAATCCAATCTTCATGCTGGCCCCCTGCTATTGCTATCAGTGATTAGAAGAGAATATTGGATAATCCATGCTAAGTCAATTATAAGAGAACAGATTTTCAAATGTGTGAAATGTCATCGTGTACGAGCTAAAACATTTGCCCAGATAATGTCTAACTTACCATCGTCTAGAGTCGTTCCGTCAAAGGTTTTCTCCAAGGTTGGAATTGACTAGGCCGGGCCATTTCAAGTGAAGCCCAGGCGAGGTCGAAAAGTAAAACCAATGAAATGCTACATTTGTTTATTCGTGTGTTTTACTACAAGAGCTATACATACTGAATTAGTAGGTAATCTAACATCAGAATCATTTATTGCCGCTTTGAAGCGCTTTGTATCTCGAAGGGGAAAACCAATGGAAGTTTTTCCTAGCTCAGATAATACTGTACGTATCGTGAAGCTCAAAACTGCTAATGGAGTTTTTAAAAGGCTAATTCACAAACTTAGTGTTTTTCCTATCAGTGCTTAAGTTTTTTTTAAAGCATTATATCGTATACTTTACTTTAAATATAATTAAGTTCCCGAATTGTATCAAGGCTTCTGTGCATCTGTTTTGAAAATAATTTAGTTTAATTTCATATTATGTTTTCCTGTTACTATTTTAATGACACATTTTTGCATAATTTAATATTGTTATGACAATTTCATTTTGTAAAAGCTATTTAGATTTGAAACGATGTTTCAACGCCGTGCGGAATGTTTCGGCCACCAGAGTCCTCTGTCTGTCTGTGAGATATTATTTCTCAATGCGCAGATCGTATGCGCAGCTCGCATTTTGTTCTTGCAAACGTTAATTGTAACTTTTCTCGCTTTACTTTTTTCTGTGTTGTGTTCTAAAGTTGAAATCGCTGAATAAAAGTTATACTACAGTCCACTCGCAAAGATGTATTCTTATATTTATTAATTTTAATTTAAGATACCTCTACGCTACAATCAGGCTTCAAATATTTTTTCACTTTTAATATATCGACGTCATTTATTGGCCCTACACCGTTTTCCTCACATAGGATTATCGATTAAAAATAATTTTTTAAGCTAACACTTATATATATATATATATATATATACTTTGGTGCTTGCTAGTTAACTGCTTTGAATTTGAAATTTTTCGGGTCATATATATATATATATATATATATATATTTTGTGGAGCTCATAGAATACAACTTCTTTTTACCTATACATATGTAAGAAATTTTTTAAATTACCTCTTCGAAGTATAGCATGTTTTAAAATTTTTGTAAAGTTTAACTAAACAATTTTAAGACTCGATTCGGCTCCTCTTTTTCGAATTCAAGACCGAAGTCAAGTGTATTTGACCTTCAGTCTTGAATTACCTGAGATTGGAGACTGCATCGTGATTAGTAGTAGATAAATTTATTAGTTATATATCAAAACTCGGTGAGAGCTTTTTGATTAAAGTTAGGTAGTCCTTTTGATTGAAATCCGAAAACACTAGTATTGAGTTCTGAGTAACTATTCCTGAATTTATAGATAGCTTTCTAATCACTACGGATCAAACAAGATCCTGGGTTTTCATTCAAATATTGAATCAAGACTCGGTGACACCTTTTTGATTAAAGTTAGGTAGTGCTTTTGATTGAAATCCTTAAACATTAGTACTGAGTACTGAGTAACTGTTACTGAATTCATCGATATCATTTCAATCTCTATGGAACAAAAAGGACCTCGGGTTTTCATTCAGATTTTGTTACTGTGTAAGAGCTGCAGATTTTGATAAATATATATTGTTAGTCTTGCTGCATGTTAATGCTATTTCTTCATCTTAAGAGCTAGACCAAATCTACATGATCAGGAAATAAGCTGCGAAAGTCTATTTAGCCAAATTTATTAAAGGTCAAGAAATTACAAATCTTTTGCAACTCAGTGAATAAAGATAATGATAAAATAATAATTGAGATGAATAAAATTATGCCTTTAAATATTTATTTTTAAAGCAATATTATATATGACATCATTGCTTTATAGGTAATATTTGGTGATTACGAGATTTATAAATCATTTCCTTTAAAAAGCCTGTTCTTGATTATCTTCTCTTTCGGGTACACTAACAGCAACGATTGATCCATTGGCTTCCCGGAGGGGAATTGAGTTGGCTACATCTTCCTGTTGAACACGTGTATTTCTTCTTTTATCCAAGCAGTCCAGCATTGCTTTACGAATCTTCGAGCAACAAATGAATGTAATACTACAGAAAGAATAAAAATAATTTCCCCCTGATTTAGTATAGTATCTAGAATATAAAAACATTTATTTAAAGGAAAGGGCTAAAAAAGGCAACTGAACGTGAACTTAATATGTTGCTTACTTACATGTACATATGCATTTAAAAGAGATTTCTAAAGTTTATTTCAACAAACACGTTATTTCTCATGCTGAATCTTTCATGCCCTTCTACTGTCTTGTCTATTCCATTAGAATATATAAATAAAGAGTGTTTTAAATTCGGTTAGTCAGAGTTTCGTCTGACATTTTTCATCGTATTCATCGATCTTTAGAGGTGTATACGGTAGACCAAATTAGTGACATCTGAAGTAATGCTAACCGTGAGAGAACAAATGTATTTCTACCTCCCCCACACTAATTTGTATATATGGAAAACATTCTTATTATAGTTTTTCTATGCCAAACTCACATAAATATTAAAGGTAGGAAAATTGTCGTATTCTAAAAACTTACATTATTCGGTTCATTCCATAAGATAGAGTCCCGGGACTACGATAAAAAGCTCAAAAGATATCTAGTTATATAAGATTTTTGAATCATTCTTTATGTAGTGCATCCAAAAAAGGTGGTTATTGTTCTTCTTTCGTAAACATTGATCCTACGCACTTGATTACAATTAGTTATTTTCTCAAAATAAAGCAGGTAATATAAGTTTCAATTACACAGTTTAAGAGGATAGTTTCGACAAAAAATTCTAAAAGTTTATTTGGTCCCTGCCAAGCTAGATTTCAGATAGTAAAACATTTATTATGGTTTAATAAGTTACAAAGAAAAGGTCAGTACCTTACGCAAAATTTGTGTAAATAAATAAATTTACTAGCTTTTCAAAGTACATTTTAAATAAAAACTTAACATTTTCGAAAATTTTCTCTGCAATGTAGAGAATAAGTAAGAAATAAAAGTTATTTGATTTAGTGATTACAGGTTTCATATTGTTTTATAACTCCTATAGTGTAAAGTAACATAGAACTACTCATCTTAACATTTAATGGCTATCCACAGAAGTTACATCAAAAGCTTGGTGAATTCTGGTATTGCTTAGCTAAGATAAACGAAACGAAACTCAAAGGTCAAATTTAACATAGGCTTTATTAGCCATGATTTATAGATGTTGCAAAACTATAAAATAATAACAACTAAACTCTAAATCTTCTCATTAAACTTTACAACACACTGCTTTTCCTTACGCTTAAGACTACGACTGATTACAACAATGTCCTAAAACAAATCCGCAGTACACTTGGAGTCTGGAAAATTGATTTCCTTTACATTTACCAAGGTCAGCCAACCTTCTCGTCAGCGCTTTCAAAGTTCTCCGAGAGACTTAAAGTCTATGGGCAAGGCTTGTAGACTCACAGGGCAAGCTTCCAAATGCTCACGTTACACGTTAGTTTAAAACTACGCCGCTAACCATAAAATTTGCACAAACTTCTGAACTGATTAGTTATCGTGACGAGCCAAATAACATATGATAAAAATTTACTCAAGATTAATTGTTGATAAAATTTTAATCATAAATAGTTAAACGACAGTAGTTATTAAGCTTGTAGCTGTACCCAAAATATTACTGATTGCAGATATCCCTGCGAATTCCGCATACGTTTTGCAATTAATTTAATAACGCATCAAGATTATTTTAGTTAGCAGGCTTTTTTGCTGTTTCGGAAGTTTTCTAAATGTAGACTTTTATATTTATGGAAGCATCCTATTCCTTGACTGAAACTGCTGTCTTAAAATACTGCTCCTGATTTCAGAGAAAAAATTAGATACCTTATTTTTGAGACTTTATTTCTGAGAAACGTACATGCTTAGGTTTAATATTTTAGGAAAAAAAGCTTATTTTTTCGAACATTTTTTTCGAGTCATTTTTTTCGAACGCCTTCCAGAATGAATACATGTTCAGACCTACCCTGAAATTAAAAGTCCGTCGTTCTGTAAATTTTACGTACTTACTTTTTACTGTGTCTGAGAGATTTTAGATCTATTAGGTTTTATTGGAGCAGGAAACGCATAATAGCTAATTCCCTTGCAGGGATTCGAATATCACATCTTCCGATTGCTAGTCAAACGAGCTACCAATTACTTCACGACAGCAAACAGCTCCTGTGGTGTAACTGGGAATAAGTAGGGTGTAATTAGTGTCAGTGAGGGGCTGAACAGTCCTTACAGTCTTTCGCACTTAAAAGGTGACTGGGGGGGACAGAGGAATAAGACCCAGTTGGCCTAACTAACATGGTGATGAAGTACCGTCCCTTATATTTTAGTTACTTAGCGCTACCGTACGGTTATTAGGTTTTTCGAAGCTGAAAACGTAAAAAAATCAGGTAATGCCTTGGTCGCATTCGAACCTCAGAACTTCCGTTTGCTAGCCGGCTGTGATACCAGTTACACCGCGAGAGCAAATAGGGGTGAAAGAGTATATTTCTTAAGTTAACGAAATCAAAATATTTCATAACTGCTAAATTACCCTGTAGTAACGGCAGAATATGAACAGATGCTATGATTGATAATACTTACAATTTAGCAGCAGCGGCAAATATAAGGCTGATCACAATAATTAATATGATTAGTACAAGTGTTTTTAAATCCCCCATATTTTCAGCAGAAGTCCGATTTTCAGTAACTGGATACACTTTGATTGTTAATTAGGTTTTACTTCAGCTTATCCTAGGAGAGAAATAAAGCAGTAAATACGAATGTTTTGAAAGCAACTAAAAGAATTAAAAATATTTTTGAATGCTTAATTTCTTAATACTAAAGGCATATAAACCTTAACCGGAAGATAAGAATAGCATAATTCAATCATTTTTAAAACAAAAAAATGCACAATTTACAAACATATACGAATAAAGAAACGAGTAACAGAGTGGATATATATACATACATATATTTATATACTTTCGTAACTTTTTTTGCAACTAAAATACGAGGTGAACATCTAAATGTTATAGCAGTCCTATATACAAAATTTCAACGTTCTGAGGCTACTCGTGTTTGAGATATGCGAGATACATACGTACGTATGTACACACATACGTACGTACAGACACCACGAAAGATTCTCTTTCAGAATTAATTTTAAATCAGTTTTATAATTTTTTGGGGGAAAAAAAGTCTTTTATTCTGTCCTCACGTTCAGATGTCATGCAAAAACATCGTTAAATTGCATTCGATAGCGCTCAAGATGGATATTTTCGTTGAAATATGATGCCTGAAAATTTTCGCGATTACAATACTTCCTTTTTACTTCGTACAAGGAAGTAAAAAAGGGTAAGTGCAGTTACATATTATTTTAAACTTAGATTAGCTTTTTAATTCAGAAAAGCGACAATTTGAGCATAATTACTTGAAAAACAATTTTTTTTTTACATGAACCATTTTTTTATTAAACTAAAAATCATTATCTTTCGAGAAGAATGGATTGACATATTTACGTAGTACCACTGAATTTAAAAGTATACCTGTTTGAGATCTGAAGTAAAGTAAAAATATACAAGGTATTCTGAAATCAAAAGTTGGCCATTTTCTCATTTTTAGCTATATGGAAAACCGAAGGAAAATGTTTCGTTCTTTCATTACGTCTTAAATACATTTACATTACATAATACGTCTTAAATACTTTTTAAATTTGACTTATTTACTTTAATAAACAAAAAGTACCACCACCTCCTTGAATTATTTGGTAGTTCATATATTTTCCAAGCAATGATTTAAGATGTACTCACTTTCTCAGAAGTAAAGTAAATTATTTCAAACCGTGAATTTTTCGAGTGTTTTTAAGAAGTGTTTTACGCAATAGTCCTTATAATAGTTATTTTCTACTTTTGTTTTAAATTCCGCTTTTTCTGTTTTCATTTTCCCCAGATATCGGAAGAAAAACAGAAAAAAACTGTCCAGGTATCAGAATGTAATGAAGAAAAAAAAAGTGACAGGAAGCCTTAATAAAACACAACTTTAAAATTAATCAGTTTCTCCAAAACCCAAAGAATACCCTAGCTGACGTTTACTAGCACAAGCTGTCCATCAACGTCTCAGCCACCATTGAAATTACCAAAAGAACCTAATAATCAGAAAGAGTTAGGAAGTGTTTTCACCCGGGAATTACCTTTAACTTCAATGTATCCGGTCGAAAAAAACAGCTGAAATACTATTGAAATCTACAATTTCTGCAGTAGATACGTATTTGCCTGTACTGATGATTCCGGATTATGCCGAAGTCCATTATTGCCATCCCGAGTTCAAGCCTTAGTAGAAAAAGGTCCTGAATATTACCAAAACCAGGTTTCGAGTTTCAGTTTTCCAAGATAAAAAGGGACGTAAATATTTTTAGATGTACTTTCATCGAATCGACAAAATCCAAGTTCTGAGAACGATTACGAAAGAATAAACCTGTTGATTTGGAATTTCAATTTATTAAAAAAACAGATTAAGCATTGGCGCGACGTTTTTAAAGAATTATCCATGCCATTCAGCTTTTATCCAAACAAAACTTAGCCTACCGTGGTTCCAGTAACAAATTATTCGACAGAAATAATATTTTTTTCAAGTGTATATATTTTAAAATGATCACAAAATTTGACCCTATCATGTCAGTATATATTAATAAAATTCGAACTAAAAAAAATATGCTTCATTACCTTGGAGATAAAATTCAACAATTAGCTTAATAGGGTATAATATAAAGCAAATTATTTTAAATAAGGGCAAACAGGCAAAGAATTTTTCTATTTTACTTGATTGTACCCCTGATGCCAGTCATCAAGAGCAGTTAACAAATTGTATGAGGTATCTTGTATGTATCTTGTATATTATTGTATGAGGTAGAAAATACAGACATGAGTATTGAAGAAAGGTTTTTTAGTATTTTGTACTACAACAGATACGACCGGAGGAGGACGAACAATATTCTTAATAAAGACTTTAGAGCAGCGATTCTCAACCGGTGGTGCGCGTACCACTGGTAGTATGCAAGAGAAAAATAGTTGAAAAAAAAAGGAAATATAACTATTAAATTCAAAAGTCTCGCGAAGAAAAAGAACAATTGATAGAAATTTCCTGTGATCAAACTCTAACTGAAGATTTTAAAAATAACAGATTTGTTAACTTTTAGCTGAAATGAAAAAAAAAAAAAAGTTATCTAAAGGCATTAAATTTTTATTGCTTTTTGGAAAACCTATTTGTGTGAACAAAGATTTTCTTCCATGTTGTATTTGCTCTCTTAAACAAGCCCAAATTTCCCACTACATTTTAGAATTAAAGTATTATAACTTAAATTTTGATAATTAAAATGGTAACCAATTTTTAATCGAATATTTTTTATGTGTGTATATTTAATACAAATAGCCAGCAGGTTGTGCAAAATGCAAAATACACTTTTTTTTAACCTTTGAGAAACTAAAAAATAATCATTGTAAAATGTAGTGGTGGTACTAGAGTTTTTCAATTTTTGTTTTAGATGGTACGCGTTAGTCAAAAGGTTGAGAACCTCTGCTTTTGGAGGAAAATGGTTTAGATATTAGTTATTTACGCGGCCAAGAATACGGCAATGGTTCAAACATGAGAGGTAAACAATTTTCGAATAATTATGCTCAAATCGTTGCTTTTCCGAATTAAAAAGTTAACTTAAGTTTAACATAATATGTAACTGCACTTACCTTTTTTAATGTAGAAAACCAATAACAACAAGCAATCACAAAAAAGATTAATGTTACACAAATTACTACGATTGCAACCGTAGACACAAAATAAGGATTAAGCAATTTGTCGAATGCGTCTACTCTTACATACGCATCGGCATTAAGTGTTTTCACGTTCAAATAGACAAAAGAGAACACCAGAGACAAATTCCTGCACTGGTTATGACTTTCGGTCAAATAAAACAGTGTGCTAGGAGGAATAGGCACTCAGACTTGGCAAGCTCCAGGCTGCCGTAACACAGTTAAAAGCTCCAATCCCTAGAGGGGATCCAAGAGGCCGCTAACCTATCGGTCGAGCCGACGGAGCTAAGACTAAGCTGAGTCGACAGGAATATTCAGTAATTCACATTCCGTTTTGGAGGGATGGTAAAAACATGTGTCATCAATAGGGGCCCCAACCCCGGACAGCAGAAGTCACTTAAACACTGTCAGACAGACCGGACCACCAATCCGGCTTGCTAACACTACGTCATGGTATACAGATGTCGGCTTTAGGCTGTCCCAGGGTGAAACAAAGGAAGAATATAAATATGTAGTTTTGAGGCTCCAGGAGCCCACTGGGAAACTTCAAGTAGTTTTAAAGGTTTCCTGAATTCGCCGACTGCATCGACGGGTGTGTTCGGCCCGGACAATTATGAATATCTGACAATATAGCTCCACCACAACCAACGGGACGGACAAGACAGTACCAGCGGTAACTCCAGTCCTGTGGAAACTGATTTTAAACAGCAGTGGCCGAGACTGCCTAGGTACAGATCTTAATCACTAGCTTCCCAAGTTTTACCTGAGTCGATTCCCGGAGAGGTGTTCACATAAGACAAGAATTTTCCTGTTCAGACAGGCAGCGAGGCGAACTGCTTGTTTCAATGATCGCTCGGCGGCTTTTTGACTTGGCGCCGTCGTGCGCCGCACGACCTTGCACCTATTGTCGGTGTGGGCCTGGATACTGGACACTTTTCTTGGAAACAAATGAATTTATTAATTACAAAATGAATGTGTAAAGGCAAAGATATTTCAACTTTACTGAAGAAATGGTTTTAGGTATTCTGCACAAGACTTATTGGTTTACTTAGACTTTTAATTTCTCATGGATAGAATGATAGAAATAATACGCCTACATTGTTCTGTAAATGCATTTTATATACACGCCAGAAAGGAAGCTTGGGCAGAAAAAAGCAAAATATTTGATTCATAGCTTGTTGATTGGTTAATTGATTAAGACAAAGGATACTATGGCTGTCTGCTTATGTATGACTTCTGGGAAAACTCTCAACGAGAAACTGGTTCGAACTTACAATACAAATGAAGAAAAATAAAAGTTCTTAAACCCAGTCCGTTTAGGTCTATTTAGTTTACGCTTGGAATATCTGATTCTCGACTTCGTAAAGTAGGAAGGTTTTCTTTAGTCTTTTCTTCGATTTTTAGACTTATATATGAAGACTAATTTAACTTACTTTAAACAGTTAGAGAGTTTCAAATATAAAAAATATCAACAGTGTTCAGTATTTTCTTCGGCAGCAAAATTTTGTATTCAGCGACTTAAGGTACCCCCTTTAGTTAATAGTAAACTAAAATACATTAAGATTTAATGACTGATATTTTATCATGCTAAATCAAATACACCAGCTATTGTGTGTTAATTTCAATGTTCAGCTATATTCTAAATTTCTGCAACGCTTGTTTTTCCACAAAATACTTTTTGTGTTTTTTCAAAACTCTCGTTTTGCTTTATCCTTTAATGTAAAAAAAGACTTTTTTAAAATCATTTCCCTTACTGTGAATCGCTTGCAAATCTAGCTTCATAATGATGTTTTGTTTGTTATATTTGAAGATGCGTTACTTTTAAAAATATCTCTAAGACGATAATCGCCGCAGAAAATTAAAATCGCCTGAAACTGTAAGTGATCATATTAGTGAGGCTACCGGGTATTTATACTACAAAACTTTTGAAGCAAGGAGTATTTTCTACTT